GTGAATTTATGCTAATTGTTGTTTGAGTTGGTGTCTTTAATTTTGTTTTTAGTTCATTTTTAAGTGTTATAAGTTTTGATTTTGTTGTAATTTGCTTTTCTTTTGAACATATTTTGGGGATAAAAAGGGGCAGATATAAGATTTATTCTTCTGCTGCCTTTCATTTTGTTTGATTTTATTTTGATTGCATGATTTTTGTACTTTGTTAATTTGTGTTACAAATTAAATGAATAAAGTGAAGTATTAGGAAAGTGCATCATGATGTGTTGAATTATTATTGTTTTTTAAGAAAATGTAAAAAAAAATCACAAACTTTGCCTCTGTTTGTCGTCACTTTTTGATTGTTTTCAGTCAAATAAAGCGTACAGACATACGACTCCTTTTTTTCAGGAGCTGTGGCCTCCATGTTTTGGGTCGARGCGGAGCTCGGCAGTGACATCTATCTGGATGGTAAGAAACGTGACGAGTGAGTTTTCATCCTTCATTTCTCGTCTTGGTGCAAAATTTCATTTTTTTTTTACAAAAAGACTAGTTAAATTGAAAATAAGTCAAACTTTAGTTTATCACTTGATGCATTGCAAGGTGGGTGATTTTGTAATTATTTGRGTCTGCATGTTTGTTAGCAAAATATCTCATAAAGCACTGGATGGATCTTAATGAAACTCTTAAAACGTTTATAACGGATTAACTTTTGGAGTCAGTTCAGGGTCTCCACTGCCTGTTAACTTTAGAAACAGCTAGGTCCTCGTCAGTTTGTCCAAAAATATCTAAAATTAGGTGTGGTACAAGCTGAACGTCATCTTGAACAAATACTTTCTTAAAAACTTTTGCAGTCCTTCTAGTATTTCCTGCTTTTTTCTGGTGTGTGTACTTGTTTCTGCTACAGAGTGAGAACCGTCATGTTTTTAAGCAACAAAGCACGGTCATTTTTAGGAAGTGGGGACATTTTCCCAGTCCTCACTTGTTTTTGTAGCTCTACTGTACTCTTACTAGTTAGGTTTAGAGATATGGTGTGAATTAAGGTCCTGTCACTCTGGACAACTTACGCCAACTTATGAAACATTTTTTTATGTTTAAATTGCTAAGAAAAGTTATATATTTGATCAATTTGTTAGAATTACATTAGGTACATGCTGAAAAGAAGCTTCCTGTTGATTTTTTTTTTTCAATTCTATCTTCAACGTAGACGTCTTTAAAATGTTCATAAGTTGACAAGTTAGAAGTTAGAGTTAGCTACAGACCAGTGATGGTTAATTTTAGGGTTAGGCCTAAATGCAGTCACAAAAATGAATGGAAGTCAATACAAAGGCCTCAGTTTGATGGAAGCACAAGGATGTGTGTGTGGACATGTGTTTTGCTACATTATGGGGACCTTTTTCCAGAAAAACACAGCCTTATTTGGACCAAAGACTGGGGTGTTGTTTAGGTTTAATAGTAGAAGTAGTAATAGTATAATAGTATAATAATAATAATAACTAGAAGCACTCGGAGAGTGCAAACCTCCGCCAAGACC